ATCGATTTTTAATTTCTTTGAATGCCAATTGATAGTAGGGATCCGTACGAATTCAAAACGGTATAATATTTCAAAATCAGACGTTATTTAGCCGAGCTATTCAAAAAAAATCAGCAAAAAAGTTTTGATTTTCGAACCGACCCAGATTTTGATAAAAAACGTGATGTAACCCCTTGCTATTTTGGCCGATTTGGGTCAAAATTTAGTTTATTATTATTTTGATGCCAATCGATAGTACTGATCCTTACGAGTCCAAAATGGTATACAATTCCAAAATCTGACATTATTTGGCCGAGATATTCCAAAAAATCATCAAGAAAGGTTGACTTTACAAATGAATCGATTTTGGGTCCACAACTTTGTTTAACCTATCGATTTTTAATTTCTTTGAATGCCAATTGATAGTAGGGATCCGAACGAATTTAAAACGGTATAATATTTCAAAATCAGACGTTATTTAGCCGAGCTATTCAAAAAAAATCAGCAAAAAAGTTTTGATTTTCGAACCGACCCAGATTTTGATAAAAAACGTGATGTAACCCCTTGCTATTTTGGCCGATTTGGGTCAAAATTTAGTTTATTATTATTTTGATGCCAATCGATAGTACTGATCCTTACGAGTCCAAAATGGTATACAATTCCAAAATCTGACATTATTTGGCCGAGATATTCAAAAAAATCATCAAGAAAGGTTGACTTTACAAATGAATCGATTTTGGGTCCACAACTTTGTTTAACCTATCGATTTTTAATTTCTTTGAATGCCAATTGATAGTAGGGATCCGTACGAATTCAAAACGGTATAATATTTCAAAATCAGACGTTATTTAGCCGAGCTACTCAAAAAAAATCAGCAAAAAAGATTTGATTTTCGAACCGACCCAGATTTTGATAAAAAACGTGATGTAACCCCTTGCTATTTTGGCCGATTTGGGTCAAAATTTAGTTTATTATTATTTTGATGCCAATCGATAGTACTGATCCTTACGAGTCCAAAATGGTATACAATTCCAAAATCTGACATTATTTGGCCGAGATATTCCAAAAAATCATCAAGAAAGGTTGACTTTACAAATGAATCGATTTTGGGTCCACAACTTTGTTTAACCCATCGATTTTTAATTTCTTTGAATGCCAATTGATAGTAGGGATCCGTACGAATTCAAAACGTTATAATATTTCAAAATCAGACGTTATTTAGCCGAGCTATTCAAAAAAAATCAGCAAAAAAGTTTTGATTTTCGAACCGACCCAGATTTTGATAAAAAACGTGATGTAACCCCTTGCTATTTTGGCCGATTTGGGTCAAAATTTAGTTTATTATTATTTTGATGCCAATCGATAGTACTGATCCTTACGAGTCCAAAATGGTATACAATTCCAAAATCTGACATTATTTGGCCGAGATATTCCAAAAAATCATCAAGAAAGGTTGACTTTACAAATGAATCGATTTTGGGTCCACAACTTTGTTTAACCCATCGATTTTTAATTTCTTTGAATGCCAATTGATAGTAGGGATCCGTACGAATTCAAAACGGTATAATATTTCAAAATCAGACGTTATTTAGCCGAGCTATTCAAAAAAAATCAGCAAAAAAGTTTTGATTTTCGAACCGACCCAGATTTTGATAAAAAACGTGATGTAACCCCTTGCTATTTTGGCCGATTTGGGTCAAAATTTAGTTTATTATTATTTTGATGCCAATCGATAGTACTGATCCTTACGAGTCCAAAATGGTATACAATTCCAAAATCTGACATTATTTGGCCGAGATATTCAAAAAAATCATCAAGAAAGGTTGACTTTACAAATGAATCGATTTTGGGTCCACAACTTTGTTTAACCTATCGATTTTTAATTTCTTTGAATGCCAATTGATAGTAGGGATCCGTACGAATTCAAACCGGTATAATATTTCAAAATCGGACGTTATTTAGCCGAGTTATTCAAAACAAATCATCAAAAAAGTTTTGATTATTGAACCGACCCAGATTTTGATAAAAAAACGTGATGTAACCCCTTGCTATTTTGGCCGATTTGGGTCAAAATTTAGTTTATTATTATTTTGATGCCAATCGATAGTACTGATCCTTACGAGTCCAAAATGGTATACAATTCCAAAATCTGACATTATTTGGCCGAGATATTCCAAAAAATCATCAAGAAAGGTTGACTTTACAAATGAATCGATTTTGGGTCCACAACTTTGTTTAACCCATCGATTTTTAATTTCTTTGAATGCCAATTGATAGTAGGGATCCGTACGAATTCAAAACGGTATAATATTTCAAAATCAGACGTTATTTAGCCGAGCTATTCAAAAAAAATCAGCAAAAAAGTTTTGATTTTCGAACCGACCCAGATTTTGATAAAAAACGTGATGTAACCCCTTGCTATTTTGGCCGATTTGGGTCAAAATTTAGTTTATTATTATTTTGATGCCAATCGATAGTACTGATCCTTACGAGTCCAAAATGGTATACAATTCCAAAATCTGACATTATTTGGCCGAGATATTCCAAAAAATCATCAAGAAAGGTTGACTTTACAAATGAATCGATTTTGGGTCCACAACTTTGTTTAACCCATCGATTTTTAATTTCTTTGAATGCCAATTGATAGTAGGGATCCGTACGAATTCAAAACGGTATAATATTTCAAAATCGGACGTTATTTAGCCGAGTTATTCAAAAAAAATCATCAAAAAAGTTTTGATTATTGAACCGACCCAGATTTTGATAAAAAACGTGATGTAACCCCTTGCTATTTTGGCCGATTTGGGTCAAAATTTAGTTTATTATTATTTTGATGCCAATCGATAGTACTGATCCTTACGAGTCCAAAATGGTATACAATTCCAAAATCTGACATTATTTGGCCGAGATATTCAAAAAAATCATCAAGAAAGGTTGACTTTACAAATGAATCGATTTTGGGTCCACAACTTTGTTTAACCTATCGATTTTTAATTTCTTTGAATGCCAATTGATAGTAGGGATCCGTACGAATTCAAACCGGTATAATATTTCAAAATCGGACGTTATTTAGCCGAGTTATTCAAAACAAATCATCAAAAAAGTTTTGATTTTCGAACCGACCCAGATTTTGATAAAAAACGTGATGTAACCCCTTGCTATTTTGGCCGATTTGGGTCAAAATTTAGTTTATTATTATTTTGATGCCAATCGATAGTACTGATCCTTACGAGTCCAAAATGGTATAATATTTCAAAATCGGACGTTATTTAGCCGAGTTATTCAAAAAAAATCATCAAGAAAGGTTGACTTTACAAATGAATCGATTTTGGGTCCACAACTTTGTTTTACCTATCGATTTTTAATTTCTTTGAATGCCAATTGATAGTAGGGATCCGTACGAATTCAAAACGGTATAATATTTCAAAATCAGACGTTATTTAGCCAAGCTATTCAAAAAAAATCAGCAAAAAAGTTTTGATTTTCGAACCGACCCAGATTTTGATAAAAAACGTGATGTAACCCCTTGCTATTTTGGCCGATTTGGGTCAAAATTTAGTTTATTATTATTTTGATGCCAATCGATAGTACTGATCCTTACGAGTCCAAAATGGTATACAATTCCAAAATCTGACATTATTTGGCCGAGATATTCAAAAAAATCATCAAGAAAGGTTGACTTTACAAATGAATCGATTTTGGGTCCACAACTTTGTTTTACCTATCGATTTTTAATTTCTTTGAATGCCAATTGATAGTAGGGATCCGTACGAATTCAAAACGGTATAATATTTCAAAATCAGACGTTATTTAGCCAAGCTATTCAAAAAAAATCAGCAAAAAAGTTTTGATTTTCGAACCGACCCAGATTTTGATAAAAAACGTGATGTAACCCCTTGCTATTTTGGCCGATTTGGGTCAAAATTTAGTTTATTATTATTTTGATGCCAATCGATAGTACTGATCCTTACGAGTCCAAAATGGTATAATATTTCAAAATCGGACGTTATTTAGCCGAGTTATTCAAAAAAAATCATCAAAAAAGTTTTGAATTTCGAACCGACCCAGATTTTTATAAAAAACGTGATGTAACCCCTTGCTATTTTGGCCGATTTGGGTCAAAATTTAGTTTATTATTATTTTGATGCCAATCGATAGTACTGATCCTTACGAGTCCAAAATGGTATACAATTCCAAAATCTGACATTATTTGGCCGAGATATTCCAAAAAATCATCAAGAAAGGTTGACTTTACAAATGAATCGATTTTGGGTCCACAACTTTGTTTTACCTATCGATTTTTAATTTCTTTGAATGCCAATTGATAGTAGGGATCCGTACGAATTCAAAACGGTATAATATTTCAAAATCAGACGTTATTTAGTCGAGCTATTCAAAAAAAATCAGCAAAAAAGTTTTGATTTTCGAACCGACCCAGATTTTGATAAAAAACGTGATGTAACCCCTTGCTATTTTGGCCGATTTGGGTCAAAATTTAGATTTTCAGCCTTTTAACCTAAGCAACTTAATTTTCGACAGATCGTTCCTATGGCAGCTATATGATATAGTGGTCCGATCCAGCTGGTTTTGACATATGTGCTGCTTGCAACAGAAAGAGATACTTCTGTAAAGTTTCATAAAGATAGCTTTAAAACTGATGGACTGGTTCATATAGAAATAGACAGACGGTCAGACGGAAATGGCTGTTGATGCTGATCAAGAATATATATACTTTATGTGGTCAGAGATGTCTCCTTCTATGCGTTACACATTTCACGACAAAATTATAATACCCTCTGCAAGGGTATAAAAAAACAGAATTGAAAAAGTTTAAAGGGCAATCGATGACAAGCTCACGAGGCAAGAGTTTGAGGTCAAGGTCAATTAATTTGGCAGACGTGGACTCTATTTGGAAATAAACGAAAAACTTATTAAGTAGGCTATGAATTCTGACTCAAATTGATTTTCAACTTTTTCGGAACAAGGCTGTGGAGTTACCAGAAAATAATCATTAGTTCTCTGTCTTTCAAACCTTTCGCTTCGACTGGCTTCTAAATTTTTACGACAAAATTTATATATTTTCTCAAGTTAATCTTCATCTAAACCAAGTTACATAAAAATGTGCGGAGGCGGTTGTGGTCCATGCGGAGGCTGTGGTCCCTGCGGAGGCTGTGGTCCATGTAATCATTGGCCATGTTGTGGCCCGCACAGTCCGCCATGCGGTGCGCCTTCACCCATCCCTTGCTCGCCTGCGCCGGGCGTCTGTTGTCCACCACTGCCCGAGGGTGGCATTCCCGACCCACGTGTCTGGAATTGTTGGAATACACCACCAACCTATCCATGTAAGTTGGCGCGCTCCTCTGGTCTTCATTTCAAATTAAGAAACGAGGCACCCTGTGTTTGCGCTGCACAATGCAGGGCTGCTTGCTACAACACCCCACCGACATACTTATTCTCTTAACCTACAGGTGGCTTTTAATGAGCCAACGTGAAGAGGCCGTGCAATAGATAGTTCGGTGTTGTGTATATAACAAGAAGGGGTCAAGTCCACAAGCCCATTGGATGGTTGTAGTTGTGAAACTTTTTGATTGGCACAAATTTGGAAGCAAGTTGAACGTAGAAAGATAAAATGACTCTATGAAGATTTAATTCGATCCAACAAGACTGAGCTATTCGCAGAAGATTTTGGATTTGTTCTGCAACTATGGCGCTCCGAATCGCTGCTATATCGTTTACTGATGCAAAATTCTATACTTCGAGACTCGAAGCGCTAGAGAGTTGGTAGAAATTCTACGAATGCGACCTGAAGCAAATCTGAACTATTCTTTGAATTTTAAAGTTTGTAAATTCAAAATTTTTCAGTTACTCAAATATGGACTCCTTTTGAACTTTTGGCAAATTATATTTTGGAATCTAAACGCGGGTTTAATCTAGGGGGTAAACGGGGGGAATAAAATAAAATGGAAAATCTAAAGACCGTGCCAAGCGCCTGTGAAAACTTTTCGGGATTTTAGATCGATCTGGTATTTACTACTTGATTTTTTTTTCATAACCATGCTCTGGTCACACTCATTTGGCGTGATGAAGATAAAAGTAATTTCGTAATCGATTGATAAATTGCCATTGAACTGCAATTTGGGTATGCAATTTAGGCAAAATATCAAGATGCGTATTGAGGCTGTGTCCTTGCATTTTACTCAACATTGTGTAAAACGCATTAGAATGTCTTTTTGCTTAAAACTGAAAGGTTCACTATTACTTAAAATTATATGTTTAATATTTACATGGGGGGAAACAGACGACTATTTGTTGGCCATATCCCTTGACATTTGCTCCGTCTCTAAATCCAGAACAACATTTGTCAATAGTTTCTTTGCCTTTATCTGGAGATCCCGATCCAAGCGTGTTATGCTCTGTACAATAAAGTTGCCATAATGGAACAACTCGCTGGGCTCCGACGTGCTCCTTTCCGCAGCTGGTGCTATGCTATTAACTGCGGTAATATTTAAGGCGCCATCATTGGAGGTACGCACTCTTTTTGCCGCTTGCGGCGATTCAGCATTTGCTGCAGAGGTCGTATCGGGGAAACTGGTCGAAGCTGGCTTTGCTGCGGCGGGAGCTTCCTCCTCTTCCTTCTCCCACTCGGTTACGACGGGCGGGCTCTCAATATCGTTTGCGTAGAATGAGTCTTCGGTATGAAAGCTACTCTCGTCCGATATCTCAAATTTCTGTTGAATAGAATATGAAGACATTAAGGCAACAGTTGTATTGGAAACGCACTCACACATACGCTAACGCTGCTCCTGGTAGAGGTATTTGGACCAGGCTTGACAGTGATCAACTGTAGCAGGAAATCCATCTTGGATTTATTCTTCCAATCATCAAGTGCACTTTTTTGATACATATACTTGTAATAGGATTTCAGGTTGTTCCATTTTCTGCACACATCCGCTGGAAATGAAGTGCATTATTGCCGCAACTCCCCATAGATGATATTGCCCCTATTTACTTACCTTGTGTTACTGGGGTACTTGGCTTATATTTGGTGTTAATGTCCTCGGTCAATTTCACCCAGAAATCGTTTTTCATGGGCCTCACCTTGTATAGCGGATTCGCTGGGTTCCACAGGTATTCCTCGGCATGGACTCTCTCGATAATAAACTCAGTTACCTCGTCGGTAAATGTGTACTGTAACATTTTTGCACGATTTATTCCGTTTCTTTATCGCCGATTTAATTATTGCACACCAAATATGCTAGTGCTAAGCGTCTTCGTTAGTTGGTTTGTTGAAAAAAGTGCGACAGAATGTGTGTGCGACAGGGTCAGCATTACATATTTGCGGATTTCTAGCTTTAGCTAGCATGGTCACACTCAATGTACAAATTTGAATGGAAATGTTTGTAAATTACAACATATAAACTTTTAATAATAAAAACAATTAGTTTATGTCCAAATGTTGTTCTTATTAGGTATTAATGGATTGGTGTATAGAGAGAACTTTTATATACATTTTTTATTTTTTTTATATATAATAAACAATGAATGACTCTGATTTTAGATATTTTTAATTGCCGTATTTAATTAACAAAACCAAACCTAGGCCTTTTAAAGATCATTTTTGTATATATGAAGGAATGAAATCGAATTTATGAAAAATGCATAAAGTTGGCCATGACTTGATATTCAACTTTTTGACCATGGGGCTGTGAGCCTTCCAGGTAAAGTCATTAGTTTTCTGGATTTCGGACCATTCGTTTCGGCTCGCTTCTAAATTTTTTATCAAAATTCAAAATTTCCCTTAAAATTTAACAAAGTAAGTTTGCGAAATTTTAAGTGAGAAATGTTACATTGAATAATTTGGGACTTATAACTAATGAGATTTGTTATTGTTATTCTTTATCATGTAGAAATAAAAATTAACGATGTGTGACCCATGTTGCGGACCTTTTGAGGTAAGTATTTCCGTGTGTGTGTGTTAGCCCCTTTTCTAGCGGGGGCGTGTATTCGTGCACTCGACAAGGATATGCATAGCAAAACTTAAACCGTATCGCCAACAAAACTGCCGCAGGCTGAACCACGCATTCCGCCGCCCTGTCCAAAGAGCATCACAGTGCAGCAGCCGCCGCGGCTGATATGCAAAAAGGATGTTGTTTTTTGCGAGAAAACGATTCCAGAGCCGATGGTCGTGAATCGCTGCAGGAACATTACCATACCCAAGGTTGTTGAAACGACGCGTGTGATACAGGTGCCCAAGCTCATATGGGTTTCGCAGATGGTTCGCGAGCCAAGGGTCATCTACTATCCATCGACAGTACCAGATCCTTATGTGATGTGTCATCCAAAGAAAGTGTGCGAGCCGCGAGAGGTTTGCCAAACGCTGCTCTGCCAGCCAAAGCCGCAGGTCATTGACGTACCAGCGCCCACTGAGTACTGCTGCTATGAGAACGGGCCGGTTGGCTACACGGCCAGTCCTTCGTGTCCGCCATTAAGCGGAAATGATTGCTGTTCGATGTCCACCTTTGGCGCCCAGCAGTATCCTATGTGTGAACTGCCTTGCGGACCCTGTGGGCCCTAGGTTAGCGTCTCTATGGTCCAGCACTGGGTGCTAAATTTCCAACGAACTGTCAAAGTGTGCAATATTGATTGCACACGCTTTGATACGTGAACGATCGGAGCGTTGCAATCAATTGTTGCTCGCCTTGATGGAGGAGGTGATTGTTGGCGCATATGTTTGATCCTTGTCAGTTATAACGAATACACGCATCAAGCAAATCTTAAATCCTAATGCATTCTCTCTCCTCTTCAATCTAATCTGCAGCCCAGGGGCTGTCGGAGTCGGGAACTGCGCTGTGGCATCCTATACACATCCTGTGACTGCGTCAAGCGTAATGGCCTGCAGGACAAGTGCCCGAGGGCGGCATGCCAAGGACGGCCAGCATGTATGTGCTTCCCGTTCCCCACCTGTGGACCTGCCTCGTTCCCGCTGCGCTTCGCCAACATGACCATGGGCGTCAACAACAAGCGTATGCGATGCGCCGCCACTGCGGCAACTTGTGCGGGTGGCGGTGGTCTTGCTCGTGCCTGTGGTGGCTGTTGCGGAGGTAATTAATCCTTTACTACATCCTTTACTGGCCTGGGTTAGTAAAAATTCTAATTTGAAATTCATTTAAAGGCTGCTGATCTTGGCCCTGGAGTTACATACCATACACCCTGTGTCTGGTGTGCATAAGCAAGGCTCACTGCTACAACACGCGATTGGGTCCGCACGTCTAGTTGCCGTCACAATCTCCATCTAATCACAAGATGTTAACTTTTAAGGAAATTGATGCGTAAATTTAATATCCAACCCTGTACCTCGTACATCCTGTCGAAGCCCAAGTGAGTACAGCTACAATCCTAAGAGATATGTTCATTTCATTTTCGGTTTACTCTCCAGGTTGTTTCTGCGAAGCAAAAGTCTTGTCCAGATATCGTTTGGTGTTCCTGTCTAACAAATGCAGATCCATGTCCAGAACTATACAGGACCCAGCTGGTGGATGTATCTGCGTACTGAGGGGTTGGTACACATTTAGAAGCAGTTGAATATGAAAAATTAATGGCACTACTGGGAAAATTTGGCAAAGAGAGAATGAACTAATCACAGAAAACTGAGATATTGCGGGCAACTACGTGATGCTTGTGGAATGTAGATCTTTGGGACGAGTTCGCGTTCAGCGAATGCGGCCTGAACATAAAAACAGATCTCGAGTTCTTCGAACAATAAGTAATTGTCAAATTATAAATTTAAAGTTATTACGATAAAAGCAATGACTTTTCGGACCCAAGCTCTGACTTTGGGCTAAATAAAGAAAGAAATATTGCTAAATGTTGTACATTTTCTCTGATATGAATGAGAGCACGGCTTTATACAAATATTTCTTACTTGCAGTGGTTCCAGTGCAGAGCATTTTAATTAGTTTAAAGAATTCAATGTTAAATGTGCGAAAGTTGCTTACTAATTTATAGTGTGACCGTTTGCAAGCAATGCAAAAATACAAAAAATAGCTTGCCAATCAGAATAAGCTGTGTTTTTAATACCAAAAAATTGTCTGCACTTTCAACGATGGTATTACGATGGTCACACTACGCTTCGTTCAGTGGGTGCTACCAATTGCATGTTTCGTTAAGATGGCGCGGGAAATTAGATTTGAGTTTAAATGCACAAGTTAAATTAAATTCCGTTAATATAAATGACATTAGCATGTCTGTAAATTGGCAATTATTAAACATTTTAGCAATTTAATTTAATGCAATATTGGCATTAACTTATATTTATTTGAATAATCAATTATATACAAAAATTTAATACTAATTCGTGTTTTATGCGTTCGTCTTTTATATGTTTATGTTAAATTTAATAGCTAATGGATGGAATGCTTTAAGTTTTCTGCATAAAACAACGTGGGGCGTTCGTCTCTCGTTCGTCGGCTAACATAATCTCGTCTTTAAAAGTAATGTATGCAAACTAAAAACTAACGTTGCGAAACTGAGTTGGAAATGGAGAATAAGGGAAGTGGCTGTGAGGCCGGTGCATTACATGGCCGTCTCCAAGGGCTGGCTATGGCTGCGTCCATTGGCGTGGAGCGGCACCAGGCCACCCTCGCCGGCCTCGCTATCAAAATCCGTCTCGAGCAGCGCCTCCGACTTGGAGCGGTGATAGGGATTGGCAGTGGCCAGCGCTGTTGGCGATCTGGGCGACCTGGGCGACGTGGGCGTTGTGGGCGACGCCTCCTGCGCAGCCGTTTGGTAAACAGTCTTTGGACGTGACGCGTGCACTGTGGGCGCCGCCGGTGGCTGAGCCAGCGGCCTGGGCGTGCGATAATGTGATGTGGGCGCCTTGCTGCTGCGCACTGCCGTATAGTAGGAGTCCGGACGCCGCATATCCGCGGGCGACGCTTGCTGCGGCACAGCGGGCGCCGGACGATATAGCGATGACTCTGTGGAGAAGTTAAACTGGTCCAGCTTCTGGTCGAAGGGCAGCGAATCGCCGCTGCTGCGCTGCGGCAGAAAGCTGCTGTGCGAGCTGCGCTGATATTCCGGCAAATTCTGCTTCAGCTCGCTGAGAAAAGCCAGACCAGGCTGGCCACGGCGTCCGCCCACGCTGCTGCTGCCCGTATCCGTGCGCAGCGGCAGCGTGCTGGCATTGCCATAATAATCCGAGCCCAGCTCCTCGGCCTCCGCGTCCGTCTGGTGTATGATGGGCGTGTCCTCCGCCACGCTGGTGCTGATGGAATTGGCGCGCGTGCCGCCGCCATAGGTCGAGTTGTCGCGGAAGCCCTCGTTGCGGTAGCTCAGCTCAAAGGCATCCGGCTCCAAGGCGGCGGCTGCTGCCCGGGCGCGATGTGCGCTGCCCTTGGATATGGTGGCCACCTTATGTGGCTGCTGATGATCCTGGGCGGCAGGCCGGAGTGCATTCTGGTTGACGTACTCATTGTAGTGGGGCTTCTGGTCGTAGCCCTCGAAGCTGCCCGCCTCCGAGCTGAGCACGCTCTTGTCCATGGAATCGATGGAGCCATTGGCCACCATCATCTGCTTGTAGTCCTGGCTCTTGGACAGGGTGCCATTGCTGGACATGTTCTGAGGCAACAAAAGAAGAAACAGAAAAGCAAAAGGAAAAACAAAAGGAAATGAAAAACTCAACCAAAGCGAACTCAAGATGCGTTAAAAGATGCGGAAATCATACATAATTGGGACGACGGCGCAGGGATCCTTGCGGATCGATGCTGTTGAGGCTGCGAAGGCTCTGGCGAATGCTGTTGCGTCGCTGCAGGCGCTGCACATGCCGATGCTTGGACTTGGCGAACCAGCAGAAGGCCACCAGGATGAGCAGAATGATGGCCAGAACAAAGGCCGAGATAATACTTATGGCAAAAATGTCCGCGCGCCACGACAGCGGATCGATGATGACCTGTAAGCAGGACAACAAAATAAATATATATACATTTAACTCTAAGCAATTCCAACTTACTCTCGGATCCATTTCACAGATAAAACCGCGCTCCTTGTTGCAGTCCCCCACCTCGACCTCGTTGAAGACGAAGCTCGTGCAGCGCTCGATGTGATTGTAGTCCTGTATCCAGACCTTCTCCGGGTACTTGAGATGCCGCATCTGGCTCTGCAGATACTTCCACAACGTGGTGCTGTCGGTGCGTATGAAGGGCATGGTCGAGTTCTCCGACCGACAGAAATCACGCGCCTCATGGAAGGTCATCGGCGCGCCGACATAGATGAAGCAGGTGTCGTGCACCAGGGCCCAGCCGGGCGGACACTTGCCGTCCAAAATGGTCTCGTTGTTCATTTGGAACGGCACGGCCAGCACCTCCAGCAGCATAGGGTCATCTGCAAACGAAAGGGAATTGTAGGAGCCGTAAATATGAACCTAGGTCCTAGATTCTACCGTGCTTATCCCTAATGCGCGACTGCACCGAGATGGTGTTGTTGTAGCTCCAGTAATTGTGACGTGCGTCTATCTTGGAGCTCCAGGTTTCGAAGGTCCTTAGATGAGAATTAATAAAGTCAAAGATTAGTATTTGTATTTTTTCTTATAGCTATTATGCGCACGTTGCTTACCTGTTTTCATAATCAAAGCTCATACTAGGTGTTCAGGAAGAGCGACAGAGAGCGAGGGGAAAAAGAAAAGGGTGTAGAGTAGAAAGTTAAATAAAAGTGGGTTGATTTTTACATTGAGAATGTGAAACGTAAATCCACTGCCAAGCGAAAAACCTTCTAACCAATGTTGATAGATCTTATTTCCAGTTAGCTTAAGGAATATTTATAGGAATATTTTTTATTTTATTTTCTAGATATTCGCAGTCTGTATTTTAAAGTCTACATATTCTCTTTACAGGAACAATTCAAGCTCAAAGTTTAATTTATGTTGAACCAAGAATTTCACAAATAAATATAGATAAAAGTACTCACGTACTTTGATAATAGATTATTTTTTGCAACTAGAAGAAGAGAGCTTTGCAGTTGGGCTTGGGTACAGACTAATCGACTAATAGACTTATCGACTAATAGGAAACCCTGACTTACATGGAATTGTTGACTGTCAGCAGCTCGTAGTCATTCTCATAGTTCTCGAATATGTTGTCCACGTACTGCTGACCCGCGGTGCCTGCCACAATGGTTGCTCGAGACATCCAGTTGGTGGCCACATTCCTGGATCAAAAAGCATATAGAAATCATTTGTCATTAAGTTTTATTGGCCATTTACCTGTAGAAACCATTGTGTGCCGTTGTCTGATAGATCTGCAGACGCACCTTCTCGAAGCCGGAAACCTCCATGATGCGACCGCCCACATTGCTGTGGACGTAGTTGTAGCTAAAGTTGGACACGACCTGGCAAAGTCGAATAACCTCCTCATAGCCGGCCATGTTCTGGGCGAAATAGTTGCGATACAGCTCGACCTCCTGGTAGGGCGACGACTGACGACCCTCCACAAACAGGGCGGGACGATTGCGATTCCGCATGAACAGATTGTGATGCACAAAGCCACGTAACGAGGTCGCGGTGCCGCGGGAATCAGCACGTATGCGCAGCCCACCCTGATTCTCCAGCAGCAGATTGTTCTATTAAAACAAGAGATATTTGATTTAGTGCCTGCAAATCTGAGCTGATAGGTTGGGGTTAACCGACCATAAAATATAGGGAGTTCATGTTCTGCACATCCAAGTTGAGCGCCGAGGCGCAGGTGGAGAAATTGCCATAGAGCTGCTTGCAGTTCCTCTCGATGCGATTGCCAATGAGCGTCAGGGTTGGCGTGACCTCGCCCGCCGAGGCATAGCTGACGGCACCCTTCATGGCACCAGAGATGTGCGTGTCCGTGATGTTGTGCAGGGCATCGCGATCTGTGGAGTAAAGCAGGGTTAGCCAAATGTTGCTGCCCAATTCTGCCAAGCTTACATTGTCCCAAAGTGGAGATGGGCACAGTGACGACCTCGGCTATAAAGCCGTGTGTCTCTGGGGCGCCACTGGCGACCAATTGCAGGCTTAGCGTCGGACCCTTCGTCTTGAAGAAGGAGCGCTGATTGTTCGTGTCCGATTCTATTTTACCCAGATACGTGGCCGTGACATTGTAGATGTCGCCGTCGTAGAGCTTGATGAAATCCGTGCGTCCGTAGAGCTTTGAGTGATTGAAAAGATTCGATTGCAGCAGACGGAAGCCGATGGGCTTGGCGCGAAAGGCGGACGTGAAGATCTTGACACAGTTGACCGGATTATTATCGTACTTGTAGTAGACCAGCATGCGCTCCTCGATGGTCAGCACCTTCTGGGGATCACAAATGTCCACCAGCGAGAAGAGCTTGTAGGGCAGGTCCAGCTTCTTGAGCGGCGTGAAGCTGGACTCGTCGCTGTCTCGACCCTCGCCGCTGAGCGAAACAATGCTGATGCCCGTGCCGAGAGTCCGGTTGATGTTTAGATGGTTAAGGTTCAGCTTGCCACTGGGCGCTATCAGGTTGATGCCATGGTTGGCCGAGTTCTCGATGCTGACCGAACTGATGATGGGGTTCTTGTGTATCGCTTGAATGGCGGCCGCCTTGTGGTTGTGCAGTATGCCGGCCTGCTCGATGCGCACGAACTCCAGCTGGCTCTCGCGCTGCTGCGTCTGGGAGCCGTGGGAGCGTGTATTATGCAGCCGATGCTCGTACTGGATCTCCTCAAACTTGGAGTTGGCAAAGCGTATGCCGCCCCAGTAGGCCTCGTCGTCGGCGACGCCATTGCAGCTCACGAACACGAACACATCGTCCCAGCGACACTCGTGCCGATGACCGTAGAGCTGCCCATTGAGCCGCTCGGCACAGTCCTCCATGCGCTCCTCATCGCCACGACACTCCAGCGGCTGCACCCAGGACCAGATGCGTGTCAGCGAGTTCGTGTGGAACTCAATGCGCCTGTCGTGGCCGTAGTACACATTGAGCGGATCGAATCCCAGCTCCCGGCACACGACCTGGGCATTGCGCTCCGTGAAGCGACCATCGCATATGGGCACCCACTGCAGTGTCGTGTGATTGAAGTACTCCAGGAAGCCCTCGTTCAGGCCGTACAGCCCGTCTGCCTCGCCCGTGCAATTGCTGGCGCTGGTGCACAGTCGTATGGAGTCGAAGTCTGTGAGGGCGGCGCTCATGTCCTCCAGCGCACGCTTGCGCGGCGGAGCCGCTACCATGGACTCCTTGGTGGCATTCCTAAACGGACGCATCACAATTGGCGACTCTTTGTAGCCGATGGCCATAAGCGTGCCCAGCACGAGAATGCCCACGTTCGGCTCAAACTCGAGCGTAACCCCGTGATGTATGGTCAGGGTGGTGTCCGGCATAACCGTTATATCCGAGGCTATGTAGTAGGGCGTCGACTGCTTGGGCAGCGTAAGATCCCGATAGACTCGTCCGCCACGATAAGTGGCCAGGTTGGACTCCTCGTTGGGCGGCGCCACCACCGAGACGCTGGCATCGTAGCTGTCCTCAATGAGGAAGGGCTGATAGATGACGTCCGCATGATCGTTCCAGTTGTCAAAGTCGAAGATCTTCGACTCAATGTAGGCCACATCCAGGCTGCCCCACCAGTTCTCCGCGGCATAGAAGTAGTTGTTCAGACGCGCCGATCTCACGCCCGCCACCAGATTGTAGTCCATCTCATTGTTGGCTATCAGATTCCGATAGAGTCTCACGTTCTGCACGCCATCCAGCCGGATCACTGAGCTGGGCAGCTGGTGCTGCTTGCGCATGCGTCGGGCAACTTTCATATAATGTCGATAGTCCGCCAACATGGTCACAATCTGGTTGCCCTTGAAGGTGTTGTACTCGATGCTGGCCGGCACCTGGCCAATGATCTCGCTGAGACTGTCCGCCTTGAAGAGCAGCACGAACTTGGCGTTGTTCGCCTCGAAGCGATTGTTATCGAAGCGCAGACGCTTCTCCATGCCGTCCAGCGATATGAGTGCACCGGGGCAGCTATTCTCCCGGAACACGTTCGAGGTTATGTTGAAGACGGCATAGTGCCCGTAGATGCCAACGTGGAAGTTGCGATTGCGCTGCCAGGTGCTATTCCCAAAGTAAATCGAATGGGTAAAGTTCTCATTGTACTGCCAGACATAGGGCAGGGCCACCTGAAAGCCGCCATGGGCATTCTGTTCCACCGTGCTATCCTGGAGCACATAGTGGAACAGATTGTTGGATGAGCGCAAATCCTTGGACAGCTGACGTATGCCATAGCCGTTCTGACTGATGAGCGAGCCGTTGATGTGCAGCGTGACCTCCGAAAGATTGCTGGAGATGACATCCCAGAAGGGCGACTTGATCAATATGGCCTCACGCTCATTGAAGCTGAGCTCTGAGTTGATCAGCTTGATGGACTCGTTGGCCTTGCGCAAATAGAGCTCCCCGTTATCGCCGACATACCGATTGTAATAGTAGCCCGTAATGCCGCGCAGATTCTTCTGTATCTTGGTGGAGCGTATGGTCAGGGTGGGCACCGGTCCGCTGACAATCCGATTGCGTATGTTCTGGACGGGCGCCGTCACGGTGGTCAGCATGAGGACAGCTCCGCCCAGGGCGTGCAGGCCGCTCTCGTAGTAGATGATGATGCCGTAGCTGCTGCTGGTTGCGGGGAATACGTTGAGATCGCGCTTCACCTGCCACAGATCGCTGCGTATATTCTCCGTGCGGGCATTCAGTATGCTGATGCTCTCCGTGGACTGATTGTGTATGGGATTGAGCAGCTGAATGCCAATCACATAGCCGGCGGGGCACTGGACCACAATCTTGCGACTGATCGACTGGCCGAGCAGCTCCTCAGTGCGTATGTACTTGTGCTCAAAGGTGCCCAGATCAATGTTGGCTATCTCATGGGGCAGCAGATAGGGATCATAGTCCGTGTCGTAGGCATTAAAGTCGCGGGCCATGTTGAACCAGCCGCCGATCTCCTTCTGGTCCAGCGAGGCAATGACCGCATCGTGGGAGATGCCGCTGCCCCGATTGTCCTTGATGATGGAGCCGGAGATGCGAAAGTCGAGCTGCTTCAGGCTGATGCCGCTGCCGCGATTGCCGGAAAATTCCGAGTTCTTTATGTTGTTCACCGACTTGCCCGCATAGATGTCCGCATAGATAATGCCCAGGCCATCCTGCAGATTGTTGACCACACGCACATTCTCCAGATTGTGACGCGCATGATCCATTTGCACCGCCGGCCGGAACGAGTTGGTCGTGTAGTCGAAGAGGCCCGCCTTCTCCACGGTCACATACTGCAGATCGGCCCGCTCCGCCAGCATGCTGAACCGCACGCCCGCCCAGGCGCCCTCGTAGCAGCGCAGTCCCACATCGTTCTCGTGGCTGCAGCTGTTCTCAAATTCGTATTCCGCCCGGCACTTGGTCACGTCGCGATCGTGCGGCGTGCAGCGCACATTGGCCACCAGCACATCCTCGGAGGTGCCGGCATTGGGCAGCTGCGAGCGCAGCAGCCGCCAGTCCTGCGGATTCAGGGAGTAGCCCAGCTGATGGCAGACCAGCGCCGCGTTCAGCACATTCCAGCCGTAGTCGCAGACAGTGCCCCAGCGACCCTTCAGATACACCTGCAGGCGACCCTCGTGTGCGCCCGTACCGCCCACTAAACGTACCGGCACACGGGGCACAGCGTCCGCGGGCAGCACCTCCGTCTCCATGTCAATGGCCTCCGTTTCGCTGTCTAGGTCAATGGTTTCCGTGTCGTTGTGCTCCCCGATGATGGTCTCCCGCTTGAGGGTGAAGAGTATGTCGTCGGGTCGTCGGCCACGCGCCTCAAGCTTGCCCGCGACCATCATGCCCACGCTGGGCTCAAAGCGCAGCGTTGTGCCCGGCTGCAGGATGAGCTTGCCGCCAGGCCGAATGTTAATGTCCTTGGTGACGGTGTAGGTACCGGCTGGCACCATGTCCTGACCGTCCACCTCGCCGCCAATCACATCACTGCCCTCGTGGAAGAACCTGGGCACAACCGTGGACACGGTGATCATGGCAGTGGAGCCCGGATTGGAGCTGTGCAGCAGGTATGGTATATAGTTGATCTTGGCCAGATTGTAGCGATCGTTGCGATGGAAGAGCCTCGCATAGATGCGATTCTCGTCCGTATGGCCCAGCCAATTGCAGGTGGCATTGATGATCTGGCTCTGGTCCGTCAGCTGGGAGCCAATCTCGTAGGCAGAGTCCAGATTGTGCAGTATATTGCGATAGATGTCCACATTGCTGGAGCCGACCACAACCGGTGCAGCGACGCGAGAGCGTGGATTCAGCCGGCCGGCGCCATCGTTGCCCTCGCTGCCTGCAATGAGCGGACCAAAGGCCTCCGTGATGTTGTTGCTCTTCACGAAGTTGCGGGTGAACAGGATGTACTGCACCTCGGCCCGACTATACGGCGAGAGCGCCAGGGAGACCACATGGAGACCACTGTTGCGCATGAAATAGTTGCTCTGGATGATCAGCTTGACGGGCAGATAGTTGAACTCCTGAAAGATGTAGTCGTTGTTCACATAGATGCAGCCATAGGCGCCAAATCGGAACATGTTGTACTCGATGCGGCCCTGCAGATTCAGGGCGGGACTCAAATAGATGGCATTCGCCTGGCTGTACTTGAACATGTTGTGACCCAGCTGCAGCTGCATGTTGGGCTGCCCGTTAGCCGTGGCCTGGTAGCAGGACTCGATGTAGATATCGTTCTGCTGGCTGCCATTGAAGCTGTTGCCCGTGATGTTCACCCAAATGGGACGACAGTAGTTGCCATGGAAGACGCCCATCTCCAGATTGCCGCCAATCTGTGAGTACTCCACCACGCTCGTCTGATTAATGGGTATGTACTCCACGGTATCCACATCTGTGGTCTGGTTCAGCCAGGTGGCCAGGCCATAGCCGCGATTCGAGCTGATCGCTGAGCGCGAGATATTCCGATTGCCGCCATAGTATGTTATGTTAACCCCAGCGCCATTGTTGAAGCTAATGTTGCTGCTAGTTATGTTGACATCGCCCGCGCCGCTCGTCACGTGAACGCCCGCCACGTGCCCATTGCCGGAGACGGAGCTAGCATGCACGTGCAGCTTAGAGCGTATGTTGTCGATGGCCACGCCGCGTCCACCATTGTCCTCGACGGTGGACTGTGAGACGCGCAGATCATAGGCCACCGAATCGCCCGAAGTGATCCGGAAGTAGCCGCTCAACTCCCGCCGTGCATCGGCGCGTATGCGCACAAACATCTTCTCCCGGGTGCTGGTTACGCTCTGCGGCCGGGTAAAGTTTCGCGCGTGCCACTCGAACAGCAGCCGATCGTTGGTGGAGGCGCCATCGAAGATCTCCACGCTGGCCGTCTCGTTCTGCTGCAGCACAAAGTGCTCAAAGTGCAGGGTGAGATAGTAGCCGGGTCGGGTGAAGAAGTACTTGCCGCACTCCTTGGCCGAGCCGGCGTAGTATTTCTGTGTAAAGGACAGGGAGATGGGGTACGTCTGTCCGGAGGTCGTGGGCAGCGTGCAGAAGTCGTAGATGCTGGCGCGATCTGTGCGCTCCGTGCCGCGTAGATCGTGACCCACATACTTGATGCCATCGGCGGCATTGTCCACCACCGAGCAGCCATCCAGCTGGACCAGACCCTGGCTGGAGTTGACAAAGATGCCAATGCCATTGCTCTTGCGCACCGTCACATTCTGCAGCTGGAATCCCGCCCAGGGCCGTGTGCTGTTGAAGCCCGTATACGCCGAGTGGCTGATCACCACGTGCTCCATCTGTGGCGGCAGGCCCTGCACCTCCAACGCCGACTTGGCACTAAAGCCAGCTCCGTTGCCCGCTCGGATGATGTCCACATACCTGAGCCGCGACTCCGACTGCGCTGCATAGACCGTGTTATCCCTGCCCAGCGTCTTGGTCGAAGGCGCATTGTCAAAGTACAGGCCGCGCCAGTGACCCAGGGGCTCCGAGTGCACCGGCAGGCATTGAATGCCCAAGTCGTTGTGATAGTCACACGACCCGGCGCCCATCTGCCGCGAGCTCCAGGCGCATTCCAGCAAACTATTCTCACCGCCTCGGCACTTGGGCTGCTCGTAGAGCAAACGTGGATAATAGCCGGGCGTGCGTTCCACCCAGTTCCAGAAGCGGCCTCCTCTGTAGCCCAGCTGCTTGCAGGCCACCGCATAGTCGGCCAGGGTCCAACTGAAAAAACGGAAATATTATTAATATGGGCATGAACTTTGTGCCATCGCAGTCTTTATAGAAAAGCAGAACTAATCTAGATTCTTATACAAAAATGACTTATCTGAGAAGATAGTGTTTTTAATAATTGAAATATCTTATAATGCGTGGACATAGGCTGTTCTCGATGTTATTTTTTATGCTGGTCAAATTGGTTCAAGATAAGACAATAATAACATATGTTTGAAGGAAAACCCAATTATCTCTCCAACTCATCACAAAGGAAGTTTAAGCTTTTTAGCTTTTGCTGGTAACATTATCGATTAAATTCCTTTCACCTTATTTCTAATGCTTTCGTTCTGCAAGCCCATAAACACAGCGCACAACCTATTAAAAAAAGTTAACTTACTTTCTTGAATTGGAGCAAACAGAGCGCCAGGCGCCCTTTTGGTATAGCTGCAGTCGTCCTTCCACAGGCGTTGGTCCGTCCACCAAGCGAATGCCCTTCGCCTGATCATCTGGCAGCTCCATTTTATAATTTGCAATATTACCCTGGGACTTCAGTGTAATGCGTGCTGTGGGTGTGCCCTGCAGAAATAAGTTAAGTATTATTTAATTTAATGGCAAAATATTAAATTGATTTATTTATTTATTAATTAATAGTCGACAAGAACGAGAATAAGAGTAAATATTTTAAATACATATACATAGCTATAAAATTAAAGATACTTGGTCTGAATCTACTATTCTAATCATTCAAATTTTGTGACTTTTGTGAAACAAAGAGATTTGCTCTTAAAAATGATTTCGATAACGATTTTTATTGAGGAGGACCTACGCTCAACATTTCAAGCCAGACAGACGGACAGACAAAGGGATAACCCGAGATATGCTCGGCCAAGAATATGTGTATATACACTTTATGGGGTCGGAGATGCTTTCTGCTTCTTACAACATACATTTGCTAAAAACCATTATCTATTTTTTTTACCGATTTTCAATGGGTTCTCTGCATAAAACTCATTTAAATCCTCATGGGGGGCGCATGTTTAATTATTACAAAAAAAAAACTTTAAGAACCCTATAAGAAAAATTTCCATAGAGGTGAATAAAAAGCAGAGGATCAATTAGCCGGGCTCCACATTGACACCGCATATTTAATTATCGTAAATGTAGATGTAGTCGAGAATCAGGTGTGGCATAGAGTATATAGAAGTTTTTCAATAAACTTTCGCAATTTCAAATTGAATAAACGCTGAAAATCAGAATGTGTCTGAATTTGAATGAGATGTGAAAGGCTCGTGATGCTAATGGAAATGCCAGGTGATGTGCGTGTGTGTGTGTGTTGGGTAAAACACTTTTCCACATTTCTTGCATATTTTGCTTTGTGTGCAATTTTCGTATAATTGTCAGGTGTGAACTTTTTTCTGATTATCTTTCAGTTTTCACCTCAGCTTTTGGCCTTTCACACGCGCAACGCGCCGTGTCCAATTTTTTGTCTAGCTTTTTTGTTTTTGCTTTTCTCTATTTTTCAATTATGATTATTTTCTCGCCCGTTGACCTTCGTGTTACACAGAAAATCATCTGTCAAGATCTTCGCTATATGGTATATATATATTGTTTTTTTTTTTCTACAGTTAATTAACACCTATGCGTTGCGCATGATATTGGCGATGGGCGATGCTTTGAGCAACGCCCACTTGGACAATTGAGAAAACAGCAAACAGTTTTATTTAATTAAAGCCAGACAAGACCAAACTCTGACAGGTCAAGAGTTGAACAAAGATGATTCACAGCTATTTTGCATACAAAATTAGTAAAAAAAAATAACCAATATAATTTTGTACTTGTATTTCTTGACTTTTTTTTTTGGCAGCTTAGCTTAGAGTTGGATCGATGCGAGCTAATTTGCCCATTTCCAGTGCAATACAAACATCAATTATGCGACGTCGTTCACTTAAATCTAATTAACCCGTAATGACCTCCTGACCGCTGATTAAGTGACCGCACGGAACGGAAGGGAGTGGAGCCGGAGCTGGGTTTGCCAGAGCGGACATGCAAAGTAAATGCAGCAGCAAAGAGTTGACTCTTTGAAGTCGTCGGTAATTGTTATTGTAATTGGAATCGTGCAACGATTCATTGAGGAAGTGAACTTGGTCTGACCCAATTATGGACCCAACTGGAGCGACGCATGCGCTGACGCCCTAACCTACCACCACAGTCAATACCGAGTACTCGGCACGAGGTTCTTAGTACTGCGAGCATAGCCCTTATCACACAACAATCGCAATCTTATCAGTTCAAAAGTCAACAAAAAAAAGTGAATGCTACGAGAGCTACGAAACTTTATGCGCTTATCTATCATTGCCGTTACTCACCTGTTGCCTGATAGCAACAGGTGCCCCGCCAGACGCTTAATCATTCGCAATAGTCAATGAGGCGAAGTGCAATTGTTTCGCTTGATCAACTGTCCAAATACCCTATATCCTATATAGATTATGCGCAGAGAGAAAATATGAAGCAAACCTCATCTAGGAATTAAGGCAAAATGGTTTTAACTGATTGAACTATGAAATTCGTTTAGAGTTATCGAGGTAGTATATGAATGGCAAGTTATTAAATCCAGTTTTAGCCTGTATATAGGACCATAAATACTTAATTGATCCTTTCATGTTCACCTTTAAGACTTATATGGTCCCTAACTTCCTGAATTCCTGAAGACCTGAGAAGCTATTGTTATTTTTATTTAAAATGTTCAATTGAAATCCTTGAAGCAATTGCCTAAAAAAACCCAACTGTCTGTTACAAGTCCCCGTTCAGAACTAATATACCCACCTCACCTAGTCGAAAAGAGCATTTAGGTGTTACAAAAGAGCTCGCATAAGTCATATTACCCTCTAACTGTAGGGTATCTCTTAACATTCAATCTTTTCTTTGTTACCACTTACCACTGCTTGAAGCACGCCGCGCACCTTGAGTCCTTTGGTGGGCGCAAATTCAACGGTCACGCCCGGCTCGATGGTGAGCCGTGCCCCACGCACCACCTCCAGGTCATCGCGTGCCAGGTACGGGCTCTCGCTGAGCCGCAAAGTGCGCTCGCTGAGTATCTCGCCGCCCTGCAGCTCCGTGTAGGAGCTCGTCGATGATGTCAGCAGCAGCGCCGGCGTCGACGGCGGCGCCGCTGTGGCGTCTCCGCCATGACGCGTTGCGGGCAGCAGCTGTGTGGCGCCATCGAGACTGGCGAATTCGATATCGTTGTCATTGTCATTGTTGTTGTTGTTGTCGTTGTCCTGCAGCAGTTCAACTGCTTCCAGCTCCGAGTGGGGTGGCAGCGCCTGCTGTTGTTGGCCCTGTCGAAGCTTTTGTTGTTGTGCGCGACCCAGTTGGCAGGACGACAACAGCAGCAGGCAGAGGAGTATTGTGCATATGTTGCCCCATTTGGCGGCAAGGGGCGGGCAGCTTTTGTGTTTGTTATGGTTGTTGTTGTTGTTGTTGTTAGAACATTGTTTATTTTGTTGCAGCAACTGCGTTTTATGTCGTTGCAGCGTCATTTGTGCATTGTTTTTTTCTATCGACCTTTGGTGCTTGGTATTAACACAATTTATTTTTTATTTTTGTGAATTTCGTTTTTACTTATAATTATTTTGCATATTTTTACATTGCCCTGGCAGTTAATTGTTGTTGAGTAGCTAAAGATTAGAGAAAATTGATTATTGGCGAGGGAATTCTCAAAACAGTCTTAAATGTATTTCATTCGAGATATTTTTTGTATTCAAGCGAACGATTTCATTGGAATTTCATTTGCAAAAGAATCTAAAGATAATTTTAAGCCAACACTTTATTATGCGGTTAAATTTTTATATATATTTTTATTTTTTTTGTTGATATTTTATTATAACATTATTCTTTATTTATTTATTTTGATTTTTGATATTTACTTTTCTAGATAAAACTTTGCAAATATTTGTAAAATTTGATAATTTTATGCATATTATATACATTTTTTTTTGGTAAATATATATCCTTTTTCACATTTGAAATCTTTTAAATTGTGTTTTATTTTTTTTTAATTTTAATTTATATATTTTATAATTTGATTTGATTCAAGGCATTTCATTTTGTCTTGTTTTTGAGCAGCCTTTAATTTTCACACGTTATCCAAGAAAATAACAGCTTCTTTTTTTTCACACAGCTTTTCACCATAATTTCCCTTTTGTTTAGATTTTTTGTTAACATTTCGTAATGAAATCACAAAATACACAGTTTCATATTGTTGCTGAGCCACAAACTTTGTTACCAATCTCTGATAAGCCGCCACAAACTGGCCCTAAAAGCCAACACACTCACACACACTGACACACGCACACACACACACACACACATACACGGGCAGCTTGACAACGTTTCAAAACAAATACCAATACATTAACACGCCACAACAAAACACACTCGATGGGTCGTGTTGAGTACCTCCCCCCCCCCCCCCCCCCCCACAATTAACAACAACAACAACAAAATGTAGATGTATTTAAAAACATACACGAAAACACGTCCATACGCAAAGAACCGTTAGCAGCGACTGAGCGGGTTGCTTGCATTTAGTATTATGACGAGTGTTGAGAAGCGACAACGGAAACAACAACAACAACAACAACAATAGTTGGGGAACAGCTTTTGTTGTTGTGGCTCCACGTCGCGGTGTGCTGTAAAGTAACTGTAAATGTGTAGGCATTTTCATTCATGCAATGAGCGCGAGAGAGCTAGCCTCAGAGCGAGCCCTTCACTGGTGGAGATAGAATGTGGGAGGGAGGGAGAGAGAGAGAGAGAGATAGAGAGCGTAAAAGAGCGTCGCACGCACCGCAAAAGGTATTTGTTCATGTTTTTTTTTTTTTTTTGGTTCATTTTCTGTGGGCTACGTGTGCGTAGTAAAATGGAAAGAAATAAAGAAAGCATTTCCAAGACTATCTTCAAGAGTTTTCTTCGCTTTTTGTGTGCCCCAACCCCTCCCCCTCAACGTATTATTTATGTTGCATATGCAAAGCAGCTTTGTGCTGCGCGGTACTGTTCTTGAGCTGCGGGCGCGGCTCATACACTGAGACAAAATAGTACGAGAAACTTTTTAAATTTTGGAAAATGTTTAAATAAAGGAAAACCAAATTAATAATATATATTTAGCTGATTCGAGGTTCGGCTAAGTAAATAGTTAAAAATGGAAATTAATAATAGTATTATATAAATAATAGCTAATAACCTTAACACACACAAAATCTCAAATATAACATTTGGTTTCTTCGCAACTCTCAATTTAAGATTCAGAAATAAACTTCTTCAAAAAGAAAAATTCCGAAATATTACAGAGTTTCTCTCTATAAAAGCATTATACATAAATTTAGAAATGTCTTTTTAAAGAACATATTAAGCAAAGATTCTTGAGTCGTTCGTCTATCAGTTACCTATTCCAAGTTAAATATTTTACAAAATGAAAATATTGGCTAGTTCGTAGATTTTTTCAGTAATACCAAATTCCTTTAAATTCTTGAGCTTAAGATAATAACACTTTCTTTTCTCTCAGTGTATGCCCAAGCGTCTTGGTGCCTTGTGCATTATTATCGATGTATCTGTGACTCAGCTGGCAGCAATGCCAAGATACTGTGGTTGTTGTTGTTGTTGTTGTTGTTAATGTTGTTGTTGTTGTTGTTGCTGTGACTTGGCCTGCACTTAAGTGCATTCAAAAGTTTATTGTCTGTCTTTTTATGGGTTTATTAACTTCATTTGGCATTTTGCGTATGTCAAGGAGTGCATTCTGCCTAGATAAGTGGCTAAAAGCGTTGACAAAACTTCTTTTAAATGCCTTTCCTCCTTTGATTGCAGTTAAGGTGTGATATTCCTAATAAGCCCCGTAACTATCTTAAGGCTTTGTGATATCAGCATTCCAATATTGCAATATCTCTTGATAGCCACTTATCGAATTTGTTAGATAGTGCTAAAAGTTGATTATATTTCCTTTAATTGATTAGATACAGTCAAGAGATAGTAGAAAAAACTAAAAAATAAACCTGAAGGGTGCTTTGAATTTTAAACATATTAAAAGAAAATTTGTACAAAATGTAATATCTGCTAAATATTTGAGAGACAACTCTTTATTGAAAAATGAGAAAAACATAAACCTGCATTCAATTATAATTTCATAGATTCAATAACCCTAATAAATAGACATTATTAAATAAAATGATTTGACTTTTCTTGTTAATTATATTTGCCCTCATTTTTTTTTTGTGCGAAATTTGTATTTGACATAGAAAAAAAGGAAATTTAAAACACGTTTGTAACTGGCACAATAAACCCGAAAGTAAGCTCATTTTGCAGGTAATTGAGCAGGTATATAACACACACGCGGGCAAAATGACATACACACACACATGTACATTTATTCTCTGTACACTTTAACGTGTTCTGCACTTGATGGTAAGAGGTTTAACTTATTAAGTCATAATAAAAATGCGACTTTTATATACTTTTGGGAAGCCATACTCAGGTAGTTCTCCAAAGATCAAAGCACTTACAATACTTCAGACATACTGGCTATTTGAGTATCTTATCAAACCCTATCAATAAATAATGTCTGTGAACTCTCATTTGAAGACAGACTTTGCTTCGCATATCTGACATTTACTCACAAATGTCTAACCTTTGACCTCTTGCAAAGCAATCCCCAAATCCCCTTCAGCTCTAAAAGTTCTTAGATTTGAGTTTTAACAATTAGTTATCTCATAAATAAGTACAAGAAAACACATACTTTACTTAATTACAGCTCTATTTTTTAGGCACTAGAGTAATATATGCCTCTTTATTCTGGCTCTGAGCATAATTACAGAATTTGATGAGCTCTGTGGGCACAGACAGCTACAGGCAGTACAAATAGATTATTCATTAGTCTTAAACGATCTTAGTCATCTGTAGTCATTTGTTGTGCCGGCATTTCAGGTTTTTTTTTTTTTTCTTTTTTGATTTAAATACTTTGGATGAGCACACGCGATATGCATTGTATTCGAATGACTAATACCAGCCCACATATTAGATTATAATCCAGCCCCCACTCTCTTTATCCCTCTCCCCCTCTCTCTCTCTCTCACCTAAACACGTTGTGGCTCACAGTTGATAAGCTCCTCTCTCTCTCTCTCTCTTTCTCTCTCCCACTCTCCATCAAAATTGGCCACAAGAAGGCAACACTTGCCAAACGCTTATCGCTTTTTATCTATGTAAGCCCACAAATGCCGCCTGTCTTGGCCTAAGAGGCCTATCATTAAGACTTCTATATATATTTATATATATACAGATAACTGATTGATAATGTCCACTTCCTTTTGCGTACGGCGCATTAATTAGCCAACAAGAAAGTTGGCTGGCAACGCGTCATCAGCTCGGGCCCAAAGGGAAGTGAGTAACATGTAATGCCTGACAAAACGGAAGTAGACGTGAATGTGGAACCAACCGGAGCAGCAGCAGAGGCAGCGCTGCAAGTGCAACTGCAGCTGGCAGCGCTGCCAGCGTTGCAGTCGCTGTTGCGGCTGGCTGAGCGCATGCAGTTGGCAAACTTTGTTGAGTTTATTGGCCACAAAAAATAGCGATAGTACGAGTTGTTGTTGTTGCTGCTGTTGTTGTTGTTGTTGTTGCTGGCAATTAGGCATTCATGAAAGCGTGCAACAGTCGCAACACCTGAATTCGGATTTGGATTCGGATTCAGCTTCGTAGTTGAATCTTTACGCGCCGTTGCATTATATTCGCACTAATGAGCTTTGTTTTACGGTTTCTCCACGCCATTCCATAATGTTCTAATTACAAGAAAATATCTGCAAGCTCTTCTAAAAGCCAGCTTCAAGACGTCTGTGTGTGTATGTGTGTGTGCAACACACACGTGTGTGTGTTGGCCTTTGTGTGGCTTTTGGTTAAAGTTCGCTGTGTTGGTGTATTTGGTAACAGTCGCTTGCTGGCCAAGTGAGCGACTCACCAACACAACCTCACTTTTTCTTTCTTCAGCAGCGAGCGATATTTTCAGTGCTTTTCAACTCTATATATTGCAATTGCAATTTCCAACACTTAACGCACTTGTTGCACTTGCCGTTGGTATTTATGTGTGTGTTTTATTTCGACTATTTATTGGCATTATTTTTGGGCTAATGAAACGACGCTTTTGGTTGGCTTTAAGGCGCGGTCATTGGCGATCACACTTACACACACGCACACGCGCGCACACACTTGTGTGTATGTGACAACAGAGAGTAGAAAAAAAAGCACCGTTGAGATCAAAATTTGTTGCGTTTAGCGCGCGCACGTCTGCTCGGCCGCGTCGTCGTTCACCTTCTGAGCGCACTGAGTCGCCCAGAGAAGCTCCACGGTCAAAACTGCGTCTGCCTCTCTCACTCTCTCTCTCTCTCTCTCTCTCTTTGTTTCACATCTGCAGTCAAAACAGTCAAAACACCCGCTGAGAAGCTTTGCGCGAGCGAAACGGAATATTCAAAGTTCGCTCGCAGTGGACAAAGCCAAACGTTGCATAGTAATTGTTGTT